GCGCCCGGCGCCATCCCGCCCGCCCCGGAAGCGCCGCGCGCCCGCCTACAAACGCCTCCCCGGCTCGGGCCGCAGGAGCCAGCGGGGCAGGCCCCCCCTTCCCTACCGGAGCCTCCAGGCCGGTCCAGGGCCACAGCACCGCACCCGCGTCAGCCGGGGTCGAGGTGCGGGGATGCGGCCCCCGAATTGCCCCAGGCTGCGTGGGGCAGAGGGGCATCTGGCAAGCCGCCGAGCTAAGGCCTTGAGGGGCTGCCCGCCTCCCCCCTGCTGAAGGGTGTTAGTAGGAGCGTCGCCGGCAGGCTGAGGGAAGCGGTGAGGCCGCATCTGAGTCCTGTGTCCAGTTGTGTTACCGCTGTCTTCAAAAGCAGCAAAAATATGGGGGGGTGTTTGGCTCCTTAAACAACAGCGAGACTGTCGGCAGCAGACCCCCACATCCTGCACCCCGCGCCCCCCTCGGCACCGCTGTGTGAGCCAGCCCAGCTGTCCCTGCAAACTGGAGCTAAGGAGTTTTGGTAAAAAAACCCTCGATCCTCAGATGATCTCACAGCCACAACCCTCCACAGCACTGTTGTAAGCATTTTAGGAAAGTCAGGCTGGGGGGTCGTGAGGTCTTTTAGTCTTGCCCCCTGCTCAAGGCAGGATCGTCCCTGACTCAACCATCCCAGCCCCGTGTCTGTCCAACCTGCTCTGTACTAGACTTTCTCCATCTGTCTGCGTCCTTCATGAAATCAGGGGCTCAACCCTGGACGAAGGTGAGGCCTCACCAGTGCCGATTAGAGCAGCAGAATCGCTGCCCTCAACTTGCAAGTGATGTTCCTGCTGATACAGCCCAGGATGATGCTGGGGGCTTTTTTTTCCAGCAAGAGCACACTGTATTGCAACAAGAGCTCGCTGCTGGCTTATATTCAGCGTATATGGGGCCCTGCTGTCCCTTGCAATGGGGCGCACAGGCTGTCGGTCCATTGTAACCCCTGCCGGGTCCTTCTCTGCACTGCTGAAGCCCAGCCAGTCCTTCCCTAGTCTGTGTTTGTGCTTGTAATAATTATCTCTGAGATCATTTATTTTAAAGGACGGAGCAGGGGCTGCTCTGTTAGCCATGGCGGGACCTAGAGAAAATAACACACCAATCCAGTCTGAACTTCTAATTGCAGTTCCGGCTTCCCCGGAGTGCTAATGACTCAACCGTTGCAAACACAGTGAACGAGACTCCGCTGCCCGTTGTCAAGCCGTGGTTTAAAGCTATCAGGGAGATTAAAAATAAACACTACAATGTACACAATTAATATTTATCAGGTAATCCGCCAGGGTCATAAATACTTGTTTTTATGAGAAATTGGACTTCCTGGATGTCTGCACTTTGTCACTCATTAGCTTTCCATCAGACAAGGTGCAAAATCTACTGTGTGGTTATTTGCAAGGAAGGCAAAAGTGAGCCATAAAAGGCACTTCTGTTCAGTTCCTCTCCTGTTAATGTAACGAGGGTCCCTGGTATAACCTGGGAAACCGTGTCATCACGTCCAGCGGTCCATTCAGGATCCAGACTCTTTCCTCATTGCTGTCCTTAGCATGAGGACACAGCCCCAAGATCATTGACTGAGCTCAGTCACGGGCTTCAGTAGAGTTACTCCAGATTTATAAACTGAAATCCAAGTCCAGCTCACTTTGTCCGCCCTCGGGAGGACAGTTTTGTGTACTGGACCAAGGGGAAGAGAGAGACCGAGTGTGTGCATGTTTGTGTGTATCGAGTGATTTCCTTTTCTGTGATTAAGCATCACGTTCTTGCTGGACATCAAAGCCAAATGCTCTTCCTTTTTGGCTCGCAGTGACAGGGCATGCGTAAGATCAGGAACATGGTGTGTAATGGCTCCGGGCTCCTTTGTAAATAAGACGACGAGCATGAGTTTAGTCGTGTACCTCCAGTATTTACTCCCAACATCCTGCTTTTGAAGCAGAGAGGATATGGAAAAGCAGCACGGAGGGTGACCGTAAATGGCTCCACGTTTCTCCAAATAGAAGAGCAGGAGCCTTTTCAAAAAAGGCTTGCACCGCATTGCGTTAGCTGCGCGCGACAGTACGTTGCCTTTTTCTAGCGCCCTTCCGATTGAGGCACTTAAAGCACTTTTGGAGTCTCTTGTTATTTCTGGGATATAACTACATAGGGTTGCATTGCAGTAGGCACTGGACAGGAGAAGAGGACAGGTCCCATCCTGAAGTTTTTGGTCGCACCATCCAGCATCCCCGAGCTGCTAAGAATCGGACAGGACAAAAATAAGCCTGCCTTTCATGGTAGATTAATCGCACGATACATCGTGAGCTTCCCGGGGTGGTAGGAATGCTGGTCTCAGCAGAGATCATGGAAATCCAGGAGTTTCTTGGTGGGGGCAAGAGGCAGAACCACTATTGCGCATTCATTCACCCCACGATACATCCCTGTGATGGAAGCAGAGGGAAACAAGGACATCCACGCTGGAGGCCAGCCTCTGATCTGCACACACAGGCAGCACAGGTAGTTAAAGAAACTCCCCCAACCCAGGGTTGCGAATCCCACCCCCCGCGCAGCAACATGCCCTCATTGCCAAAGAAAGTGCGCATCCACGATCGGAGGGAGGAGGTCAGACCTGGGTATGAATGCCCTCGCTTGTCTTCCTTCCTGTCACCACCACCACGGCAGGCTTCTGGTCCATTCTGGGCCTGAGAAGGGAAGCCACTGAGCTCCTCATGTTGAGATCCCTGGCAAAGGAGGGTGCTCACAGCTCCCAGGATCAGTCCTTGGATGCATTGCGTCACTCCGAAGTGGTGTAACACAACAGTGGATGAAAGGTCTGGGGTCTGTCCACAACCCCGTTGGTCAGAGATCCCAAACCTCTACACTGGCTTGGCCAACAATGGTGCCAGTCCATGCTAACTGTCATGGTCTTTTTGTAACATTGATACCCCCCGCTGGGAGCTGGACTGAGATCCCCCCACACTCATTTCACATCTGCCACCAATGCCATGCAATAGCTCAGCTGTAAGTGAAAGGCTCTGTCCTGTTTCTGGGCCCGCAAGCCATTCCCTCCCATGCACCAGCATTCCCCATCTCCACTCCTGTTGCAGTTGCATTATCACTGTATATGGTGCCACTGCCTTTACAAACCCTCCTTCCTAATGTGTTCCAGCCCTTGGGCCATGCCTTGTGCAGAAATAAAGGCCTGGCTGTATCCCATTGACCCTGGTCTAGGGTCCCGATCTTTTCCCGCCTCCCCTCCCTTGACTTTAATGCAGTCCATTTGCAAAACGAGGGCCTACATATCTCCACCTTTGGAAGGAGCTATTCGGGTGGTGCTTTTCTCCCAGAGGTCATTCTCCTTTGGAGAAGGTTCAGTTGTTTCCTTTTGCTTCCTGCCCCCTTTGTAATGTTGGTCCCGGGGCCTTCATAAATAAATGACTCCAGCCACAAGTATGGGAACCAGTGCTGCTGAGACTGGCGGGCACAGAATAAATAGTGTGACCATAAAGTAAAACTATGCATGGATTGGCATGAGCAGATTCAATAGAAAATAAAATAAGATTTTATTTTATTTTATTTTTATTTATTTTATGGGCCTAGAGTGAGTGGGAATTTAGTTAGGGAGCTTCTGGAGGGGCTGGACATTTTTAAGTCAGCTGGCCCGGATGATCTTCACCCTAGAGTCCTGAAGGAACTGGCTGGGGTCATTGCAAGTC